CCCCCCACCCACCCGTCTTCCCTGCTTCCCCACTCATCCCTTCTCCATGGTTGGCACCGGGGCGATGGCCCAAGGAAAGAGAACCAGCGGCTCAGCCCCCACCTTCCGGGAGTCCTCCATCCCAATCCACAGGTCATCCGTGTCGGGATACTCAGCGAGGATGTGCTTCCCCACCACGTTCATCTGCAGCTCCGAATCGAAGGAGGCAAGATGGGATCCCCGGCCGTAATTCTGGCACTCTGCCTGAAAGGAAACAAGAGGTTGGCACACCTGCCTGCCTGTCCGTCTGTCTGTCCGTCTGTCTGTCTGTCTGTCTGTCGGCTTGCCCAGCAACCCTTCCAGAAATCGTGGCCTCCCACAAAGCTTGCCTTTACTCTGAGGCCAGAGTGGACAAATACGGAGCATCCACGGGGAGGGGGCACACACATCCAGGCACGCCCCGGACCCGCCACCAGCCTCATCCACTCTGAAAATGCCAACAAAAGTCGGGTTTTGGAATTGGGTGAGGCCAGTTGGCCAGCCCCATGCCAGGTTAGCGAGAGACCCTGCACCTCAGGGACGGCGGTCTCCGCAGCAGAGGGGCTGAGGACCACATTTCTGACTGCTGGTAACCCAAGGACTGCACTCACAATGGGGGGGGGGAGGATAGGAAAAGGGAGTGAGAGTGATCAGATAGAACAATTTGCATATGTATTCATCCCTTTTCCCCCTTTATCCCTTTAGTGACCCGTTGAATACTGTCCTTATGCCCTGTAGTGATGGCTAACGTGGATTTTTAGGAGCTGATTTGCCAGTTCAGAAATGATCTTTTAAACTGTAAAAGCTCTTTCGTGTCTTCTAGAGGCATTAATAATAATAAACTGGGGCCCAGAGGTGCCAAAACCTCGCTCTATTGCGCCGATACCCTGTAGAAAGCACAATGGGACATTTTGAACCATTAAAAAAAAATAATTAAATTAGGGGGGCTGCAGTGTATGTGCGACCAGAGAGGCTATGGGGAGGGGAGAATGCCCCCCCAGGAGTCTTGGGCGGACCACCCCGGCGCTACCTAGTGCTTCCACTGGACAGGAACGGGAAAGAAACTCATCTTTCCTGAGACTGGTGTTTGGTTTGGAGCAACACTGTGACCGTTTAAACTCTGGCCGACCTCCCCTTCTACCACCTCACCGGTGGCCGGCTGCACCCACTGGTTCAAGACTGGGTAGGTGAAGGAGAGCCGGGGGGGGAGTGATGGCCCCACAGAAAAACAGGGTGTCACCGACTCCCTCGAGCCTGAGTTCAGAAATGATCTTTTAAACTGTAAAAACTCTTTCGTGTCTTAGAGACATTAAAAATACTAATAATAAACTGAGGCCCAGAGGTGCCAAAAACTCGCTGTATTGCTCCGATACCCTGCAGAAAGCACAATGGGACATTTTGAGCCATTTTTAAAAAATAATTAAATTAGGGGGGCTGCCGTGTATGTGTGTGTGACTGGAGCAACCGGAGATGCTATGGGGAGAATGCCCCCCCAAGAGTCTCAGGCGGACCACCCCGGTGTTATGTAGTGCTTCCACTGGACAAGAATGGGAAAGAAATGCGTCTTTCCTGAGACCGGTGTTTGGTTTGGAGCAACATCATGACCGTTTAAACTCTGGCCGACCTCCTCTTCTACCACCTCACCGCAGGTGGCCGGCTGCACCCACCGGTTCAAGACTGGGTAAGTGTCACCGACTCCCTCGAGCCTGAGCGGGTGGAGGGCTATCGAAAGCGGGGGGGGGTGTCCTCCGCAGAAGGCCCTCGGACCCAGGAAAATGCCGGCATGGTGCTCCCAGTCCGGGCAACCTTCCCTCGCCACCCCAAAAAGGGGCCCCCTCCTACCTCGGCTTCTGGCCATGGCATCTTCGTCGGAATGACCACAAAGCAATACTGTTGGTACTGTAGCCAGCCTTCGCGGCAGTTGGCGGCCTTGGCACCTGCCCGGGGAGGGAGAAACCTTGGTCAGGGACTGCGGGGGGCTGGGGGCTGGTCCTGCACACCTGGGAGCACGGATGAGTAGGAAGGGCCGAAGAGCAGCAAGCCGAGGGAAGAAGGAGGGTGGGGAACCAAGCTGCACCCCCATTCCATCCCAGTTCCACATCCAGCAAAGTCTTTTTTTATATATATCACTGCCCCATATTTACATCTAACTATCAATAGGTTTTATCCTACTATGCACATTGCAGACATAGCACCTTTAAGGCACCTGTTTTGAAGTGAGAACCATCGTGAAAGGCTCCTCATTTGTGGAACGGAATCAGGTCCATTTGTAGAATGTGGAATGAGTCAAATCGCTAGCCATTCTTTAGCAGACCACCTTCCCACGCTCAGAGGTGACCTTTATGGGACTAAGCGACATTCGTGGGTCATTGTGATCCCTCCGTCTCCAGTATTTGTGGAATGTGCGGAACAGTTTCTGTTATCTCATTGCTGCTAAGCTGACATCTCAAAACAAAGTCTCGGGCAGCTTTGGGAGAATGGTCTTGGGAGAGACTCAGTTTTTGCACCGTGACTATGCTTTGAAGCACCACCCGACTTCTCGGGCAGACTCAGGATTTGGGCGCCTTCCCGCTGTAGCTCTCCCTTGTGCTGAAAATGTGGCCATTTGGTGGAGTGGCTGGGGACCTCCCAGAGAAACAGAGGATTTCCCCACCTCCCGTGCACTCGGTTTGTACCGTGTTTGACTGGAAGTCCACCACTGGATCATAGAATCATTGATTTATATGGAGTGAGGTCCCTGTCGTTTTGATGGTCAACGACAGCGGTCCAGAAAGGAGATTTCCCAGCCCTGCCTGGAAATGCTAAGGAGGGTCAAACCTAGGCCATTTTGTACCGTGTTTGACTGGAAGTCCACCACTGGATCATAGAATCATTGATTTATATGGAGTGAGGTCCCTGTCGTTTTAATGGTCAATGATAGCTGGGGTCAAACCTAGGACACGCTGACTTGCAATCTACCATGAAGCTAAACCTTCTTTCCTTCCTTCCTTTAATCATGAGCTCCTTCCTTCCTTCCTCAGTATGTGGCCACAGAGCCAGAGGTTGGGGGTTCGATTCCCGACTGTGAGTCCCAGAAGAGCCAGCCTGTGTGGCCTTCGGCAAGCTACACAATACTCCAAGTTGCCTTCAGAAGAAGGGAACGGGGGTCCTCTTGAGGACCCACTGCCTACAAACTCGTCAAAAGTGGCTCCCTAAGTTAGAATTGGCTTGATGATACAGGATGATGGGTGATGATGTTGTTGAGATGGGATAGGGATCTGTTCCCAAAGGTAGGGCCAGGGTCCTGAGGGTTTGGGGCAACAGAGACCGGACGCTGAGGTGTGACTCACCTTGCAAGTAGTAGCTGATGATCAAGAGGCCACTGAGAGAGAGAGAAAAGAATGTCCGTCGAGCCATCGGTATCTCTGCCGTGGGGATAAAAAAAAGAGAGACAGGCGTGAGAGCGCCAGGGCTTGAAACAACCTGCTCTTCCCTTCCAGTAATGAAGGCATAACTCAACTGCCCTCCAGCTGTCACAGTGGAAGAGACTGCTTCCTTTCTTTGACACTGTCAGCTGTGACTTTTTAGTGCTGGTAGAGAAAAGGTCTCAAGAAATGGGGGAGGAGGAGGAGCACCATCTGGTGCAAGTGCCGGCTTAAGTTTTGGCCTCACTCCTCTGTTGTGCGTCTTGCCGCAACAACAACGTCGAGGACAGGAGACTGTGTTTCGCAGCACAGGCCAAAGGCACAAAGCGTTCGGACTTTTAAAGGAACTAAAAAAAGGAAGCCTTTTAGTTACTAGCAGAAAACAGGAGAGTATGGGAGAGAACGTCGTAGAGGCCAAATCAGGATGGTTACTCACGCTTCTGTCCCCCTGTCTCTGCTTCTTGTGTGTGAAGTGATGGTGTGGGGATAGATCCTCCTGGAGCATTTATAAAGCGAAGGGCGCCAGGCAGTGGCGTGTCCGTGGGACGCGCTCGTCAAATGGGGCGGCCCGTCGACAAAAGCACAACAGATTGTTCTCCTTGGAAAGGTTCCTCGAGTGAGCAGTGATCCGGCAAGAAGGAAGCAAAGACCGGGAGGAGAAACAAACAAACAAACACTTGGGCTTTGAAAGAGCCAAAACCGGACGGTGCACTGAGTGTGTTTTTAGAAGAGGCAAGAGGCCTCTGTGTGGGGTAAGCGCAGGGGTTTTCCTCACCCCATGTATCTTGCATTTGCTGGGCTTTGCATCCAGGCCCTGCCATCTGATTGGTCATTCTTAGCGGAACACGGGCTAACTCCGCGCATGGGGTGGCTGGAGCACCGAATCCCCTCGTGGGAGGGAAAGCAGGCTCGTCGCGGGGAAAACATGGGCCAAGGGTTGAGGTGAAACCTAACTAATAGGGCAACCCAGAATCAAGAAAGAGAGAAAACCGGACCACCGTCCAGGAGGCAAAATGAGGGCCGAGTTGCCACTGTCCTTGAAAGTGGCTGCATTCTCCACGGTTCTTACGCACAGGGGCCCTGGGACGTTTTTCTAGACCCCGTGGTTCCACTAGCGCTTAGGAAAGGCTGGTTGTTCATCGCCGAGTGTTTCCCCTCCAACGTGGCCAACTCTGAGCTTGTGGTATCAAACCCGAATGAAGAAATTGTGTGTGTGTGTGTGTTAAAAAAAACACCTTTGAACTGCACAGCTGGAAGGGACCCTCTGGATCATCACGTCCAGCCTCTCATAAGGAGGGAAAATGGGGAATTGAACTCCCTAACCCCTGAGCTATCCAGCTTTGAGATGTTAAAAGCTGGACTTATTGGGTGGTCTGGTGGAAGTGGTTCAGATCCCTTGAAAAGTCTGCCTTGCCGTTCCCCACAGATCACCCAACCTGAGATGTCCACTACGCCAAGTACAAAGTGTTAACTTAGCTAAAATGAACTTTTATCTTTGTCCTTCTTTTTTTCTCCTAAAGGTTTTTGTATTGTTTGCTTTTTGTCTCAAAAAAAAACCAACAACAAAAACCCGGATCTCCTTCTAAAATTCTTCATCGCCACAGTGGATGGAAACCCATGACCCACACGATATCCAAATCGGGGCTTGTGCACCCACTAATACCCATGGGAAGCATTCTGATATGGCCCGTCTAGAGTGGATTACATTCTCTTTCGATTGCCACTTCTCGACTTGAAAAAAACACCCAACCTGTGCTTGAGGGGGATGCAAACGGCTACGTTCTGAAGGCTATCAAGCCCCCGAATGATGTGACCTGCCCACTCAAAGCCCACATATCAACCATCCATCCTTCCACAAATACACACACACATAGCCCCCTAACAGTGGAAGAAGAAGTCAGGAACATTTACGAAACTTAAGTTTTCAGCTTTCTTCCTCAGGTTCCCAAAATGAATTACAGTTACGGGGCAGTGGCCTTTGTTTGTTTGTTTGTTTGTTTGTTTGTTTGTTTGTTTGTTTGTTTGTTTGTTTGTTTGTTTGTTGTTGTTGTTGTTGTTGTTGTTGTTGTTACATGAGAGGGAGGCACTTATAAAATGGCATTTATCAGTTCTGCCAGGGTCACCCGGATGACTTCTCCACATCTCATTGCCTTCAAACTTCTGCAGATAATGAGTGAAACCTTCCCTCAAGGACTAATTGTCCTGGCATTTTATTTTTAAGGAAATTTCTCCATGTTCCGGAAAGGACAAATGAACTTTAGATTTATGACCAGGCTGCTAATTTGATGGAGTAAGAAGAACCGATGCACAGAGCACCTTGACTTCATTTAAACTTAACAAAAACGTAAACCAGGAAGGGATGATATGATCAAATTTAATTCTCTGTTGCATTTGTTTATCGACAAACCTGCTGTATCTTATTTCTGCATTCAAAAATAAAAGTGCATTTGAATTAAATATGTGATTTGAGATGATTTCCCCCCTCTCAACTACGATTTTCTGACAGGATTTTCCACAGGTTTGAAAGCTTATTTTCATTAGACTCGTGGGCCTATGGCTCCGTGGAAATGCGGATAAGGCTGAACAGAATTTCTTCGGGGCACTTTTACGCCATAGATTTAGAGGAAGAGGGGAAAGGACCTTATAGGTTCAAGAACCTAGAGGATCAGTTCAGAAGAAGGGGCAACATCACACCTCAGAGTTGCCCCATCTAAAATCAGAAAGAGCCACTGTGACCTCTGACCTCACGAAAGAAGAAAGAGGAGGAGAAGGTTGAATTTTGGAGCCCCATGCAACAGAAACATGGATCGAGGGGGTTACATGGTCTTTAAAACCATTGCATTTTTGAGCTTCTGATTTTTCTGGGTACCTCATCATGTCCAAAAGCTATTGTCTTCTGCTGTAGTGCTTTTTGTCCTTTTGTAAAGAATTTTTTCACTGCCATGATAAATGGTCATTTTCTTCATTTGACTTACAGTATTTCTAATATTTGTGGCTTTTTAATGCATTTCAAAGTGGCATAGCGCTAGATCAATGTTACAGATAGGAAAATTATATACAGTATAGCTGTTTGGACAGCAGGCCAAAACCCTGGCATCCAACGTTTAACAAACCCTACAAACAAAATTTACTCCAACACAGGCGAGCACACCTGTCAAAATTATTATTAAAACATCATGACCAGAATCGATATGAAATGAAGAACCCTTTTGTGGGTAATTTAAAAAATCACTTGCCAACCCCAAAAATGTGTGCCTAGCTGTATGCCGTGTAAACGCATATCTTTAAATCAATTTCAAGTGTGCCAAATCCAACACAAAAATGGGCACATGACAAAGTATTGTCTTCTTTCTTCTATCTTCCCCTTTTTCATCTACTGGTTTGTGCTCACCATATTTTTTTCTTCCACATGGATTCCTATCACTCTAATATCCCTGGGATGGAATTATTTCCCCCTCTAGACTCAGACCTCCTATATTTGGGTTCTGAGAATAACCTGTGGAACTACCTACCACAAGGAGTATGCATCTCCATCCAGCCAATATGTCCATTTGTGAATATATTGTGCCATTTAGACCTTTAGGAGAGGAAGCAAGGCCTTCACACCAGTGGGCTCTTGGCTGTGGAAGGACTTGCCAATAAACCAGTCGAGGAATCCCTCTCTGTCTGCTCTCCAGGCAGCTAATGCCTTTCCTCGCCTCAGCCCTCTGGTTGCATTTGGTTTACCAGTCAGGGGTTTAAAAAAATAGACGGTGCGCTCATTTGAGTTATGGTTTTATTTAATTGTGTCATTTTTAAATGCTATAGATAGACCACTTTCACTACTTGGAAATGTTTGTGTTTTTTGAACTACAGCCACCGGCCGGGGAATTCTTGGACTTGTCGTCCAAAGGAAAGGAAAGGAAAGGAAAGGAAAGGAAAATAGGCTTCTAAACTCAGATTGCTTGGAAGACGGGAAGAACGACCGGTCCGAAATGGCGCTGAAAGGAAAATAGGCTTCTAAACTCAGATTGTTTGAAAGACGGGAAGAATGACCGGTTCAAAATGGTGCTGGGTCGCCATTTCAGGGAGGCACGGATGCAAGCGTCACAGTGTGACGCAGCTTTTAAGGGGAGGAGAGACGAGCCTTTAAGAAGGCTGGGTCCCTTGAGGACAGCCTCTTTGGCTGCCTTTCCAGCAGTCCCTCCCATCCACTTTTTTATTAAGAATGAGATTAGCTGGTTGCCTCTGGGGCCAGATGGGGATTTTTGGCCTGGCTCTTGGATGTGGGCGTGTTTTCGCCCATCCCATTCTTATATACTACTGGGGGTGGTTATAATGTCAAGGTACATAATGGTTAGTTAAATTCCTTTCGGTCATAGCTTCGGGTAGTGCGATAAAAAAAGCTTGGGGGAGTTCAGGAGGGACACGTGGTAACAACATTTTGGCCATCTATGTATTCGCGAAGGCTTTCACGGCCGGGATCTAATGGTTGTTGTGGGGTTTTGGGGCTCTTTGGCCATGTTCTGAAGGTTGTTCTTCCTAACGTTTCACCCGTCTTTGTGGCCATGGGCATCTTCATAGGGCAGCACTCCTGCCAACTACACCAGAGTACAGGTTGCTGTCCTCTGAAGATGCAGAGACTGGCAAAACGTTAGGAAGAACAACCTTTAGAACATGGCCAAAGAGCCCGAAAAACCCACAACAACCATTTTGGCCATCTGTCTGTCCAGGTTTGACTATCAGCTGTCAGAGGAGAAGTGGGCTTTACAGGGTATGATTTCCTGACCACCTGCCTGCTTAGGGTCAATACGAGGCTTGGCGGGAGGAGTTGATTAGGGGGTACCAAGTCACAGAGCTCCTGAAGGCATGCTGTCCAGTGGACAGCACAATTCTGAAATAGGAGCTCGCCCTGCGATAGAAAATGTCCGAAGAGCAATGATCATCGGACATTAAAGAATATCGCACTACGGTAGGCCCCCTTGTATTTGGGGGGAGGACCTTAAATAGTTAATAAAGTTGTGGCCAAAGTTTTAAACCCAACACCTGTGTCTTGTCTCATTATTTCTGGTCTGGGTGCGCAATCACATTTATAACAACAGTAACAACAATAAAAATGAATCTGCTCAATGTCATCATTCCTCTTGCTTAGAATGGAAGTCAACTTTTTCACCAAAATGCTTGGGCAGCTGGGAAAAATTACTAGGGGCTGGATAGGCCACTTCTCTACATAGATTTCTCGCTTGGTGGGGACACAGTTCAGCGCCTTCCCTGTGGCTGCTCATTTAGACTCTGGAACTCCCTGCTACTGGAGGCCAGGCCAGCCCCCTCTTGGCTGTCCTTCCATAAGCAAATGAAGACCCTTCTTTTCAAACAGGCTTTCCCTCAGAGATGGGCTGCCCGAGTGGCATTTTTTAACATTGCACTCTTTTGTTTTTAAATATATTTGTAGTGTTCATTTTATTTGCCGATTTTAATGTAATACATATTTAATTCTTTTCAATATTTGTACTGTATATTTATTGTTTTTTGCTATTAAATATTGTCCTTTTAATGATGTAAACTGTCTGGAGTCCTTTGAAGGAGAAAGGAAGGATAAAAGTATTTTAAATATAGGAATTTTTAAAAAAAGATTTCAGAGGTCCTCATTCACATGTCTTTGCTAGAGAAGAAGATGAGGTGTGGTAACTCCTGTTCTCCCCCCCACCCAGCATTCTGCATTTCATAGTCATAGCTGGAATTTTTAGCATGTGGAAAAACCTGAGCTGGAATATTCAGCATGTATACATTACTGAAACAGCGATGTCTACGTTGGCTCAGGCATGTTGTAAGAATGGCTGATGGTCAGATTCCAAAGGATCTCCTGTATGGAGAATGAGTGCAGGGAAATCGCCCCAGAGGGAGACCACAGCTGCGATACAAGGACATCTGCAAGCGGGATCTGAAGGCCTTAGGAATAGACCTCAACAGATGGGAAACCCTGACCTCTGAGCGTTCACCCTGGAGGCAGGCGGTGCATCACGGCCTCTCCCAATTTGAAGAGACCCTTGTCCAGCAGGCCGAGGCAAAGAGGAAGTCACAAAAGCAGCAAAACCAGGGAGCTGGACAGGGGACAGATTGGATTTGTCTTCAGTGTGGAAGAGATTGTCACTCTCGAATTGGCCTCTTCAGCCACACTAGACGCTGTTTCAAGACCGGTATTCAGAGCACGTTACCCTAGTCTCTCGAGACTCAAGGAGGCCCCATCAGCCATAGAGACTTCAAATGCAATATCTGATCTTTGCATGTAGGTGAAGTGACAGAATTCCTATTAGCACTAACAGCACTCTTCAGTACATGCGGGTTTGTGATGTCGTGGGGCACGGTACCATTCAGAGGGCAGGACTGATGTGTGTACTTGGGCCTGCCCGAACCCTGGTTTAAGCCATGGGTGTATTCAAGTGGAACACACTGAGCTCTTTTTCAGATAAAGTAGGATCCCCATATACGTTGGATCAGTATCTGCAGTTTCACTTATCTATGGTCGGAATATATTAAAAATCTTAAAAGAGAAAAATCCAGAAATATGAATTTCACATGTATTACCAGAAATGGCCACTAGAGGCAGCCAGAGACCAAGTTATGAATATTTATTTGTGAAGAATATTATACCAAGGTATCCAGTGCCTTCTAGTGGTCAGTTCTGGTAATGCATGTGAAAATAAATTTTCTGGTTTTTTGGTTCCCCCCCCCCCATTAACATGCTCTCTCTATATACTGTGTTTTCCCGAAAATAAGACAGTGTCATATATTGATTTTTGTAACAACAAAAAAAGAAACACATTAGGGCTTATTTTCAGGGGACGTTTTATTTTTTTCATGTACAATCTACGTTTATTCAAATACAGTCATGTCATCTTCTTCTGATTGCGGCACAAGGCTGGAGGGTGGGCTTTCACTTAGCTAGGGCTTATTTTGGGGGTAGGGCTTATATTATGAGCATCCTGAAAAATCATACTAAGGCTTATTTTCAGGTTAGGTCTTATTTTCGGGAAAACAGTATACAGTATACTGTGTATGGTATTATCTGCAGTTTTCAGTGTCCGTGGGGGCTTGGGACCAATCCCCAGTAGATATAGGATCCTACTTTACGAATGTGTCAGTAATAAAGAGAGGTCAAAAAAAAAATCAAGGGTCTTGCAAAATCTGGACTAGAATCCCAAATTCTTTAGGTAAAGATTCCCCTTGACAATTTGTCCAGTCGTGTCCAACTCTAGGCGGTGGTGCTCATCTCCATTTCCAACCCATAGAGCTATGGGTTTGTCCGAAGGCAATCTTCTGTTGTCAGCATGACTAGACATGGAACGCTATGACCTTCCCACTGTGGTGGTACCTATTTATCTACTGCCATTTTGCATTTTGCCTGCTTTTGAACGGCCAGGTTGGCAGGAGCTGGGACAAGTGACAGGAGCTCCCTCCGGCGTGTGGATTCGAGCTTACGACGGCAGGTCTTCTGACCTTGCAGCACAGAGGCTTCTGCGGTTTAACCCGCAGCGCCACCACATCCAAATTCTATAGGAACCGCCAAAAATATGCTTAAACAAGGAAACCATTTATTAAGCAAAAGAGGTGCAAATCCATTCATCCTCATCAATTTTATTCCACCGCTGGACGAATGACTGCCCCCTCTACAGCAGAGAGCTACAGAGAAAGGGCATCTTTTCTTTGCAATCCGCCGATGTCCATCTTCTAAAACCTGAAAGGCATCAAGTGGAAGAGAGTCAGGGACGCTCCTGTCTTTCCCCATTTTCCTTTATTCAACAAATCTCCCCCTCCCTGGAAAGGCCCTTTCTGTGCTTTTTTGACCCCACCGTGGTCTCACAGAGGGTGAATCTTCAGCAAGGAACAGATAACAGCTAAAATCTTTCTGCTTAGTGCAGTGAACCATATTAGAGAAGGCCCATTGAACCAGTGGGGCTTTAGGGAGTCAACCACTCCATGAGTCCCCTTGATTCTAATAGGTCTACTCTAATTGCCTCGTAGTATGCTGAAATAAGTTGCAGCTAGAGTAGGCCTCTTTGAATCAATGGAACTTCTGGAAGAGTTGACTCATGAAAATCCCTATTGATTCAATGGGTCTCCTCTGGTGGGATTTACTATGCGAAGCAACAGGATTTTGGCTCGCGAATCATAGAATCATGAGGTTGGAAGGGGCCTCTAAGGCCATTGAGTCCACCCCCTGCTCAATGCAGGAAAAACAAAATGAAGGATATCTACCAAGTGGTTGTCTAAGTTTATTTCGAATGCTTCCAATGTTGGAGCGCTCACCACTTCCACCTGAGGTCATGGGTCCTGTTGTTGTACTGCTCTAACAGTTAGGAAGTTTTTCCTGAGATTCAGCCCAAGTCTGGCTCCCTGTTAGCTTGAGCCCATTGCTGCGTGTCCTGCACTCTGGGATGATTGAGAACAGATCCTACCCCTTCTCTGTAGGACAGCCTTTCAAGGATTTGAAGAATATTGTCATATTATCTCCCCTCCACCTTCTTTTCTCAAGGCTAAACCTGCCCAGTTCTTTCAGCCTTTCCTCCTAAGGCTTGGTTTCCAGTCCCCTTGATCCTCTTGGTCGCCCTCCTCTGAAATTGCTCCAGTTTGTCAGCACCCTTCTTGAATTCTGGTGTCCAGAATGGGACACAATCCTCAAGGTGAGGCCTCACCAGCGCCGAATAGACAGGGACGAGCACCTCGCACACCTTGTATTAGAAATGATACAAGCACATCTCAGAGAGGCAGAAACAGATGTTCAGAGCCTGCAACGCCCTTTGTGAACCAGTTCGGAGATAGACAGAAAAGGCAATACTGTACTATTCATAGGTTCTTCAAATCTTTGTAAAAGTAGGGCTGGAGATGGTGCCCAGCCCAACAACTTGCAGCCACTCCAATGCCCACACTCACTAGAAATCTTCAGGAGGTTATTGTTTTCCCCACACCTTTTCCTAGCAGAATCTAAAATAGGGTTGTGGGTTTGTTTTCACTTCTGGATTCCCATGGAGGGGATTAGTGTGTCCCTGAGAGGATCTTGAAGCTAAGAAAGATCCCCTGGCTTTTAGAGCTGCCCCACTCCAATAGAAAGACCCAGGCGTTGTTTGAAAGCCTGACCCAAAGAGTCTCGTATTTCATGTATTTCCTTAGACTGGTCTTTACGTTTGTGAGGTGTGGCGTAATAGCATAAAACTGTGAGTTGCAAGCCTGGACTCTTGATGCTCAACATTGGAGGGCTTCAAGATTTCGCCTAAATGCCAGCCCACACAAGGACGGAATGGGAAAGCCAGCACTTCAGACCAGAAAGGATACTGGCCCATTGCATTGTGAACTGGAGCAGGATTGTTCATGATACCCGTGACACGGATCCTCCACAATAGCAGTTTCACCCTTGTAGGAAAACGTTCAGAGCATAACAGGACAGAGGACAGCATTGCTTATAGGGCGTAACATCTGGGGCAGAGAAGGCAGATTGCAGGAAGATTTGCCCCACGGCCCATGCTTTTTTTTTCTTTCTTCTGGCTGTCCTGGGAGTAACCCTGTAGGGCTGAAGACTATAAAAAAAATACACACAAGCCCAAGTTGGGTTGGGGTCATGGTTCAAGAGGTCACTCTGAAAGGCCGGAAAGGGTTTGTCCATCATCACAAAGAAAGATCCTCCAAACAGTGTCTGTCCCTTTTCCAGCTCAGGGGATCAAGTTAGGCCAGAGCAGGGAAGAGTCCCAAGAAATGCCCAATACCCCTAAGCTGGACTCAACGGCCCTTGACCTTCATGTAGGATCCGTAGACCCTTGGCCATCACCACCAGTCGAGATGGCTGTGAAAGTCAGTAGCTGACCAGGCAAGGGAGCAGCTCTCCCCAGCCCAATAAGCTCGTTTGCATTATGAGCTTCCACCCCTGGGTCCCTGGACTGGCAAACTGTTCCTCACCTTCCGAGAGTGACATAAAAACACAGGATCGCTTTTCTCCTCTCTTGCTGGGTTCTCCTGCGGACCAAGGTCTGAAGTTGGTGGTAGAGGAATCGCTCCATTTCCACCTCCCAATCTGCAACCATAAGCACAGCAAGATGAGGTGGGATGGGGAGGGAGGGACCCTCTAGTCAACTGAAGATGCAAGTGGATCCCAAGGCGTGGGAGGAGAGCAGTGGGTTACTGGCAGGAATGAGAGTTCGCAAATCAAGACTCACTACCGAGCCTGTCTTAAGGTGCGCTGGCGACTTGACTCGGAATTGGCTCGGAGAGGTGGCGTGTTTTTTTTTAAGACTTGGATTCAACTCATGACCCGTTGCCACCAACGGATTCCTCCAAGGCCTTCCTTCCAAGAAGCCAGCAGCTGCCTCTGCCCAGGGACCCACAGTCCAGCTGATAAGTGGGTGCATGGCCAGAGGCAGGGGCCTGCTCCAAGAAGAAGGGAAGCCAGCCTGCTGTCTCTTCCCATGCGCATGTGCTGGCCCAGCTTTCCTTCCTGGCCTGCTGTCTACGCATGCACCCGACGGAGGGAGGGCATCAACTGGAAACTTGGACGTGGGGCTTTGGACTTAGAACTTTGGCCCAAAGACTTAAGAATCAGGGCTCAGGATGCGGACCCGAAGAGGTAGACTCTAACCTGGGACTCAGTCTGGAATGCTGGCCAACATTGCTGGTTACTGGCGAGGAGGCATTTCTACGTGGGTCGAAGACATGAACTTCACAGAAAAAAGAGGAGAGCTGGGAGCTTCTGACTCACCTTTTTGGGGTCATGAAATCCAATCCAGACTCGCTGTACCTCGGGGTAGTTGTTAGTGATGCGCTTAGCCACAATCTCATTTTCTTGCGCTGAGAGGAAGGACGCCAGGTGGCCGTTCTCGCCATACCTCTGACACAAAACCTGAAACACACGAAGGGGCGCATATTGATTTCAAACTCAAGTTGGGCATCCAGTCCTGCGAATTGCTGTGATGTATCTATTTCCCAGCAGGGATGTGATGGCGCTGCGGGTTACACTGCAGAAGCCTCTGTGCTGCAAGGTCAGAAGACCAAGCAGTTGTAAGATCGAATCCAAGCTCCCATCGCTTGTCCCAGCTCCTGCCAACCTAGCAATTCGAAAGCATGTAAAAATGCGAGTAGATAAATAGGGACCACCTCGGTGGGAAGATCACGGCATTCCGTGTCTAGTTGCGCTGGCCACGTGACCACGGAAATTGTCTATGGACAAACGCTGGCTCTATGGTTTGGAGAGGGGGATGAACACCGAGCCCTAGAGTCAGACACGACTGGACACACATGGGGCCACAGAGGAGCTCAGCGGAATATAGGAAAGCTGCTTTGATACTGGCACCTCCAAGCCTGTTGCCTCCCATCCAAGAATTCACCAGGCTCATGCCTGCTTAGCTTTCAAGACCAGACTTGACCGGGTGTGTTGAAGTTGGTCGGGGGGTTGAGACCAAGCCGGAGAGATGAAAAAAAAAACAGATGGTAGATAGAAAAGTGGTGGCTTTTTGGAAGCTCTGGTGAGCCTGGGATCAAACTAGGTGAGAAGAGCAAGGGTCGTGGCCCGAGAAACGAAATGACCGGGTGAAAGAAACTGGGGGAGTCAAGAAAAAAGTAAAGCCACCGCCAGCTCCTGAAAACGGCTTCTTACCTCTGCATTGGACCACGATGTCTCTTCCGTAAAGACGCCAAAGCATTTATTGTGGTAGGCCAGCCATTCCCTTTTGCAGCTGACCGCTTCCAAGCCTAACCAAACAGAAGGAATTGTCAGGAATGCAATCGATCTGGCCAGCATGGATCAAGCAGGAAACGAATTCGGATCACGGAGGCAACCCAGGGACTCAGAAGCGACCCTGTTAGTCTCACGCAGGGAGGAGAGTCGGGGTTTCCAAATCTAACTCTTGACATGCACCTCTTCAGGGCGCCGGCAAAAATATTCAATAGTGCAACACTCCACCTCTGATTTAAAAAGCACATTGCAATGTCTGAGGTCCCTTCCAGATGTGTAAAGAAAAAGAAAACGCTCCCTTTTTCTATGAACAGTTGTGCAAAAAGACACAAACACTCTATCCACGGCTTCTTCTGGGCCATTTCTGCAAACTGGTGTTTGTCAGGAATGCGTCTCCTTAGAGGGGGCATTCCTTTAAGAGGGGTCATTCCACAGGAATGTGTCTCCTTAGAGGGGTCATTCCTCTAAGAGGGGTCATTCCAGTTTCCTCTGGGAAAGTGTCATGACTCTAGTTCCCAGCATCCACCACCCTTTCTTCCTAGGTTGGGTGAGACCTAGAAGATGTGTGAGTGGGCAATGAGAGGCAAGATTCTGTCCCTAGATTTCCAATTCCTCCCTTATTTGGGCTTAAAAACACTTTGGCTGTGCACTTTAAGCCTTGCACACCAGCCTGACCAGGTAGGACAGCCAAAGAACAAAAATAGCAAACACAGCCCTCCTGGGCTAAGGTGCTTTCTTTAGGCACTTTCTCACCTTTGGCCCAGAGGATCACCCTTGGGTAAAAGATAAAAGGTTTATTTAAAAAGAGTAAAAAGTTATAAAGCAAAACTACAGTGGTGCCTTGCAAGACAGATGCCTCGTAGAACAAAAAACTTGCAAGATGAATGGTTTTGGCAATGGGGTTGATGACTCGCAAGATGAAGGGCCGTGCTTCGCAAGACAAATGTTTTCCGTTTTTTGTTCCTGCCTCATGTTTACTGATTTTTAAATGTTTTTCTATGATGTTAAAGTTTTTTTATTGACATTTTTTAAATCGTCTGCACAATATGTATCACTTTAAAGAGCACTTAATAAACCCTTTGTAAACCAAATTTGACTTTATTCTGACTTTTTTTTTTTTGCCCATAGGAACGCTTTAATTAGATTTCAATGCATTCCTATGGGAAAATGTGTTTCGCAAGACAAATTTTTCACAAGACAGCATTAACCGTGGAACGAATTAAATTCATCTTGCAAGGCACCACTGTACAAAAAAATACAAATTCTACTGTTTCAATGCCAAGCATCTAAGTATTAAGTAAGCTCCTGTGAGTCTTTCCCATAAAGCAATAAAATCATTAACTATTGAATGATTTTACTACTTAATTACCATGCTATTTTAATTAACCATGGCTAAGTCTCCTAATCAAATAACGGAGGCTTTAAACCTGTCTCCTCCTTCTCCTCCAACTCTCTCTCTCTCACACACACAAAACTAACCCCTCTTTCTATAGCTTAAATCAAGATTTCTGCTTCATGATGAGTATCCAATCGGCATCCCGTCCTTTGTTCACATGTTCACGCCTCTCTTGCAACTTTCCACCGGCTGGTCTCTGGTTCCCAGGCTGGCAAGTATTTAGAACGGAATGCAATGTTTTGAGATGTGACCTTGTCTCACAACAAGAGCCAGGTCTCAGGCAAACTCTGGAAAACCAGTACTACAAAACCCATATCCTCGCAGCGTTCATAGAAAAATGTGCATGTTTAGTGGTTTGTACCAAAATCATTTTCACCGGTGTGAGAGATAAGATCTCTTCCTGATACCCTTGCAAAATATCTCGTGCAGTTGCAGGGATATAGCCAAAAAAGATAGTTGTGATTCCTCATCCTTATGTTTGAGGAGGAGAGGAGGTTGGTCGTGATCACCATTATGACCATCATCATGATCCTTACAGGCCATCAAGTTGTTTCTGACTTATGGCAACCCCGCCCAGAGTTTCCGACTACTCAGAAGCGGTTTACCATTCCCGTCTTCTGGGGGGTGCCTTGGGGCCCTTCTGTGCCGCTGGCCCAGCCAGGCTACCTCTTCTCCTAAAAGGCATTGTAGGGACTCGAAATCTCAACTTCTGCCTCCAGAGCACAGTCGCCGACTCCCTGAGGACTTCTCTCCCTGGCTATCCTATTTGTGCTTATAAGAAGAGCCCAATTTGATGGTTCTCGGGCCTGAGTATCTCCTGCCAGCTGGATCGCTCAGTCTCTGCAGGGAATGAAAATCGAGTGGTTTAATATGATGAACTGCTGGACAGCTCCGTGGTTTCAGTCTTTGGCTGTGGAGCCGCAGGTTGGGAGTTCAATTCCCTCATTGGGCCTCCTCGACAGAAACTACTAGACCCGGTGATCCAGAAGGTCCCTTCCTGCCCTGACCTTCTAAGATGATGATAATAATGATCCTTAATGAACTACTGGGCAGACCAGTGCTTTAAGTCTCTGGCGGTGGAGACAGAGGTTGAGAGTTCCGTTCCCCACTGGGTCTCCTTGACAGGGGCTGGACCTGATGATCTCGAGGGTCCCTTCCAGTTTGAAGCAGAAGGACGAACTGCTCTGCTAGAACTGCATCACAATCAGCATCATCGCAAAGCTTAGAAAAAGAAAAATGGACCAAAGTGGTACATTTTGAGGCTTTGACTCCCAGAAACCTCTGGCAAGGGGATTCAGAGAGTTGATGATCCAAAAATGTTTTGTTTTGTTTTCGATTTTTTGCATTGAGCCTAAACAGAACAGGAAAGAAAAATTAAATCTGGATATCAGTGGCCTAAGAGATCCCAGGAGTTTTAATCCCTCAAAATCACTTTTCCAAGCCGTGGCCCAGATGTGACTCTGGCACTGTTGGTTAACGAGAACTGAATTCTAATGAACCCAGGAGAGACTCACCTTGGAAGAAAGTGCTGGCGATAAGGAGGCCATAAAAAGAAAGGTGCAAATAGGACCCTGCTCCCATCTGGATGGCTGGCGTGTGAATCAAAGAAGAGAGAGAGAGTTGGTAGCAAAACAGATGGTCGTTTTGATCAAATTTTGTCCGAGGACAGGGCTGGGAAGGCCTTCGCTCTGGGAATTTCCTGCTATGGCTGCACCTCCTTCAAAAGAGTCACAGAAGAGACTACGCCCAAGTTACTCACCTATCCTTCTGCCCTGTTTGCCTTGGCTGAAATGGGGGTGAGTTTTCCTCTTTCACCAAACAGGGCTGATCTGTTGCGGACCATTTACAGACTGACGGGTCAAGAAGGGCGCCCGCACTGAATGCAAATTTTGAACACAAGCACACTCACTCAGCATTTGGGAGTCTGAATAAACCTCTTTGCTCTGGCAGCAGGCAGTAAAGTGAGCAATGATCCAATTGAGGGAAGGAGGAGGAAAGGAAGCTCGTTCTAACTTACTGAGCCATTGCCAGAACATGGAGTCATATGAGCACCAGCTTGAAACAGAAGACCAACGCCAGCGCATGGGTTATCAGCCCTCTCCAGCCCTGGTCCTTCGGATGTCCTTCTTCTTCTGCCTTTGACAAAAGAGTCTGTCTGAGGTCCAGGTCTTGAGATCAGAGCTTGGAGAACGTACCTTTCGGGGATACAATAGCCGGAATCAGGGAAATTAGCAAGTCTTTGGGTGTGAGTCCCAAGTCCAAATCTGAGTCTTTGATGTCAAGTCCCGAGTCCCAAGTCTGAGTCCCTATTAAAAACAAGTCGTCCCCCCCAGATAAAGGGGGAGGGCTGGTTCCAACTCACGAGTTGAGTCTGAGTTATTGAAAAAGAAAAAATTCAAGCCAAGTCCTCGGTACATCTTAAGTCTGATTTGACAGAGATTCCTGCGACTCAAGCCCCGACCTCTGGCCAGAATTCCTCGGGCAGAATGATTTCATTATCACCACTCTGGGAGTTCTAGACCCCAAAATGTAACTTGCCCAATGTTCTAATTGGGATCAGATGAAGAGTGGGGAGAAATCACTTTGCTGGGTCCTTCTGGAAGACGCAGTCAATGGTCCAAATGGCCATGTGGTTCTGCCCGGTCCCGCCATTCAGTGCTTAGGTTCTTGAGTTATCAGTAGAAAGTGAAAAGAACGAGAGCGCGGAGATCCTGAGAATAGATTGGACCATGCAGGCATTCTGTAGATACAACAAAGTTGCCTTGTACCCCTTTACACATGCACACACCAAAACACACCATTCCCCTCTCATTTTGCATGAGCAGGAGATGATGCCACTTATCAAAGGCACCAAATTGATTAGCTAAGGCTCTGGAAACAAGCTCCAATTTAAGCACCAGAAGATACTATCTGAAAGAAAATAACACTAGCTTTTTTTAAATTTTGGTTTGATTGGGCAATGAGAAAGGTGTGTGTCTGATCACATCAGAAAGGGCTGCTTTGCTTGGAGAGATCTCCCTTCAAGCAACCCTTCCATCCATCCGGGATTCCTCCAGCCTTGTCCGCCAAAGCTCTGTTGCAGGACCAAAAAGGCTTGGGCACAAATCAGGGTTGAGCTGGAATTCTATTGGCCATACATCATGTGATTGCTGGGAAACAGATTACAGTAGACCATGCTATAAGGAGTCCAGAGTGCAAGCACACAAAATCCAGCATCTAAAATTGGCACCAGAAATTCAGCATGGTGGTTCCATGTCTTCTACAAATTCTGGAGCTAATGTGCTCAGAGCTTACTGTGAGCCCTTATAAGAGTCAAGGGTTTGTCTACCAGGCTCATTTGGAGCAGGCTGGTGAGAACTCTAGCCGGACCTAATAGAGTTGCTTGCAGTTGGGTGGTAGTCCAGTAGGCCACTTGGTGCAATCCTTGCAACCAAATGGCACATGCACCTCAAGCAATCCTATTTGATCTGGCTACTTTAAGAAGGCTAAAAAGAATGGGGGATCTATTCTTGCCCCCTCCAGTTTTTCACTCTTCCAGGAAGAAGATTTTAGGTTTTTGTCAAAGTGATGGAGGACATCAGTGCTGTCCTAGTACAGCTGTTTTTTAAAAAAAAAAACATAACTTTTAATTCCTCTGCCCCTCCATGGAGCAGAGGAAGTGTTTAATTCCTCCCCCCCCCATCACAAAGTGACTAAGCTCTCTTCTTAAGCCATTGAACAATGCTGGCAAATTGACAGCTGCAAGCTCTGCTTTGGTTTGTTTCCAGCAATGGTATGTAATGGAAACAAACCAAAATGGGGATGATTTGGTGTACTCCAGCAATTACGTCATGTGATCATTGAAAAAAGGCGTGAACCAGTCTGTCCCTGCAGTAGACCAAACAACAGGACAAATGCCCATCGGATATGACCCTAAGATGATGGACGAACATTGGCAACTTTCCAGCCTTTGGTTAGTCTGTGGGCTACCCCGGGCACTATCTAACCCCAACCACACCCCTGATCAGGCATATTTCATTGTCTGCCTCCTGCCTCCTCCATCCTGTACCGAAATAGCACACAGACAACAAGGTTTTAAGAACAAGCCTCTCGTCTTTGTCTCCCTCTCCTGACACTTTAACATTTTGTCTGTTGAAGAGACGCCGGTCTCAAAGGCTTGCACGTTTTCTTTGCTCTCCCTGTTTTGGTTGACTCAAGGAAAGTATCATCCTTGTATGGTTTCAGGAATCTGTTGTGTGCCAATGCAACCGCTCCCGGTCAGAGAACAAGATTCTTCTAAATGCAAATATAAATATAGAGAGGGGGAAAATAAGATCTTTTTGGAATGACTAAAACACAAGCTTTGAAGACCCTAACGAGGCTTTTAAAATTAGACCCATTGTAAGGCCTCAACCATTTCGTAAGCAGCCCTTCCTTTCGAGAAACCTCCCGGTTTGAAGAGCCGTCTCACTCACAGTCTTCCCAGAGGACTTCTTTAAAAATCTGACTGGAGTTTGTTTCTGCTTCCTGCTGGCTGCTCTTTCCCACACGCCATCGCTCATCCCTGAAGCTTGCAGAGCAAAATGTTCCATGCATGTTTCTGGGTCGTACCCTTCTATTGGGTGGCCTGCATCGGCGTATCACACACGGAGCGCTCTCCAAATCATTGAGCTTTCATCCCAAGAGGAAGAACGGGTCTTCCTGCTAGAAAAGCCACCGGGAGAGAAGGGAAGGAGAAAGACCAGCACATTGGTAAGACGTGGGGTTTCTTTGACCACCTTCCCTCTGCCATGAGGTGTATATTCACTGGCAGCAAATTACCTTTGAACTACAGAGCTAGAAGGGACCCTAAATCCAGCCCTTTTCAACAAGGGCACCATTGAATTAGCAACCTCTGGCTCCGTAGCCAAAGACTTAAGCCATTACGCCATCCAGCAAATGCCCGCCTGGTGCTCTGAAATGGGGTTAAGGGCACCTTGAGGGAGATCTGGATTAAACGATAGCTGGAAACGAAATGTGAAGTGGTGGCGGTCTAAACAATGGTGGCCTCTGATAAAGTTCGGATAAAAACACGTTGACTTATCCGGTTGCATAAAGGCAGGCAGGCAAGTGGTCAGAGGTCGTTTTAAGGCTTTGCACTGAGTGCTGGGCTTCAATCATCCGTGCCACTGGGGACATGGCGTCCAGCCAGAGGGAACTGGAATGGATGCCCTTATGCGCGTGGTTTTCCATGTGACAATTTTAAGCTGATGGACAAGATGGCCCCCTTCCTGATGATGGCCAGATGGCTGGTGGGATCTGAAGTCAACATGAAGCATTGGGGGGGGGCGCATTCTGCACTGCACTTGGAGATGCTGAGATGGCTTCAAGGGCCTAAGGCTTTGCTCTGGGGTCACGCACACAGCGCTGCCTTCCAAGGACCTTGCTCATTCTCTTCTGCTGCTGCCTGAGACAGCTGCCTCATCTCCCCCCAACAGCAGGGCTGGCTCTGCCCTTCGTGTAAAATGCCCTTGAAAAGGTATTCTCCAAACTACAGTCAGAGCTACTGCAGTGGCCTTCAGGAGAAGTTTGTTCCATCATTTCATGGCCGGGCACAAGGTCCTGGTCGGGCAACTGCCCATCACTAGAGTCTTCCTCCCCTCCCTCTCCCCACCTGGGGTGCCACTGCTCCTTCCTCCTCCACAACCATCTGGCTACTGAGAACCAATTCGTATGGGATGGAGGTGTGGGATGATCACAGGGGCCACCCATTCCCCACTGAAAGAGGAGAGGTATGGGGGGGGCGCGGAGTGTCATGGCAAGGCCCATGGGAGAGGAACCTGGTCAAAACATCCATCGCTCTTGTTCCTAAATCTGCATCTACTACCTCTAGAACTTTAAGCAGGGTCATTCCCCTGGCCTTCTTTAAAGATACCCAGCAGTGCAATCAGGACCAACAACGTGCAAAATGAATGGTGGGGCGCTCAAGTTGCTCATTCCCTAGAGGTATCGTGAATGTGGGGCTCACCGGATTGAAGCCCCAAGATACTATGAGCAGCAAGGGCTGTGCCATCATCTGCCCTCTCCGTCAGGCTGAAGAAGAGGAGGAGGAAGAATGGGAACATCAGAGAAGGTGTCAGAAAATGAGGAAGTCACAATCTTGTGGGATTTCCAGATCCAAACGGACAGACACCTTGAACATAACACACCAGACACAGTAGTAATAGATGATTGACATGGCAATTCCAGGGGATGCCAGAGTCGAAAATAAAGAATTGGAAAAACTAACAGAAGTACAGAGACCCGGCCATTGAAACATCTCGCCTCTGGAAGAGACACGCTTCAGGGGTCCCCATGGAGTCATCGGGGGCTTTGGGAACCATATCAAGAAATTTCATGCAATGCTATAAAGCAGCTGCAGATCTCAGATATCACACCATCAGAGCTACAAAAATGTAATATTAGGAACAGCATACATACCGCGCCAATATTTAACAGATCCTTAGGTTGTTGGTTAAAACTTGTATCTGTTATATAGTAACAGTCAATGTTTTTATAATTTTGATTGACTGTGGCTGGTGGTTTTGAACAATAATCACCTTTGAATTGCAGAGCTGGAAGGGACCCTTCGGATCATCGAGTCTAGCCCCGTCAAGAAAGCCCACTGGGGGAATCGAACTCCCAACCTCTGTCTCCACAGCCAGAGACCTCAACCCCTGAGCTATTCCCATTCCCTTTGAGCTCAGCTACAATCCTCACCATTGTGGAGAGTGAAACAGATTTTTTCCAGGAACGGTAGACTGCTCTCCATGCTCCCTGTTGTCCCACAAAGCATTTGAAGATCGTTTGCTCTTGAGTGGGCCATTCAGAGATATTATCTCTGCAAAAGACCTGCTCAGAGTGGGTCTTTGGTGTGACCTCCCTTTGCCATAGCTCCCTATTAGAGTGGGGGGGATGCTGGCTGGGGATTTTGGGACTTGTAGTCCAAAGGTTGCAGTCTTGGGGACATCATGAGAAGACAAGAGTCACTGGAGAAGATAACAACGTTGGGGGAGAAATGAGGGCCAGCAGGAAAACGGGGAGACCGAGATGGTGAGATGGATTGATGAAATATAGGAAGCCACAGTCTAGCAATTTGCAAAACCTGGGCAGGGCTGTTAAGGACAGAACCTTTTCTGGAGGGGGGGTGAGTGTGTGTCACTCATTCATGAGGTGGCCATGAATTGGAGGTGACTTGATCACACACAACCACCATTCAAAAGGTAGTTTTTTCCCCCAAATCCTGCCCCATGCCACTCTTTAGGGAAGGGGGCAGCCTGTTCTCCTGTCCTGTTTGAAGCCAATGCACTTGTCTCCCCCCTACCAATTGTTTTCTCTCCCTCCAGGGGCAGATGAGGTCGCCCTCTCCTTTTCCCCTGTCCTTCTTGCGGGTGCTGGCCCTCGGCTACTTCTTGCAAGGTGAGTCTCCTGCCAAGACCCAACGGTGGGGTGGCTTGGCCCCCGTTCTCAAGGGGAGCCACTGGACACCTTGAAAATGCCCTTAGCGGGGTCTGGCCCTTGGCTACTTCTGGCAAGGTGAGTCTCCTGCCAAGACCCAACGGCGGGGTGGCTTGGCCCCCGTTCTCAAGGGGAGCCACTGGACACCTTGAAAATACCCTTAGGGACCTTTCTTACCTTCACTGCTTGCAAAGTATCCTGCAATTTCCTCCTTTTTAAAAAAATCGATATTTGTGTGTGTGTATAGTCACGTGGCATACATACAGTACAAATATATTGATGTGGGACCGTTCACATGGCTGTCAGTTTAACTGGTACATTTCTTGCTAATTGTACCGGTTCTGTAGGCTACATGTGCAATCTCATAGAAACCAGTTCATTTTCCATCCTATTTCTGGGCACCTACTGTCTTAAAATTTAAAAAATCCTAAGTGATATATCGCTATTTTCCTGTGACTTCCAACTGTTAGTCGATGCACCACCTGGTGGGAAATGCCACTCACTAGATAAATATAGGGCAGCATTTAAAAGGTCTTGAATTGTTGCTGGAAACATACAGAAGTGGGGATGATGGTTAACATACAGAAGGCATTGGCTAAGTGATACATTGGTAAACTGTTGTGGAGGAAAAATTAGTAAAAGTAAGTGATTTATCGCTAAGCAGTTAATATATATATATTTTTAAAGGGCACAAGCGTGATGGCCATGCAGTGGCCATGGTGCCCCAAAACCCAACCTTTTCACAAAGTAAATAAATCAACAGCAACATTCACGTGCTCCGAAACAGTGAAGATCGAAGCGATACAGGGATCAGATCATTTTTTTAAAACCTTGCTGGCGAGGTAGAAAAAAACCTGATTGGCTGGCCAAAGGAATCGATGACGTTACCCACGCGTTGTGTGAACAGAAATTTATAAAACACCTTAAATATGGATATAACTGGAGTTCTTTTGGCACATATGGCTGTGCCCTCAACACGTCTGCCGAAATGCCAGTGAATACCATCAGGTGCCTGCCAGTTTTGCTCTTCTCAACGGTTTTGCCAGACCCCACCGATATGCACATCTCATCAAGTTTCCATCGTGGGTCTCAAGAAGCCTTCCCCCCACCCTTTCCATTCCTTGCATGGAAATCTCTACCTATTTTAGTGCACAAATCCCATGCTTTTTAAACTCATTCCTTCCACTAACTAGAACATGTTTTCATCCAGCTTTCATCATGTGCTGCAGGATTCTGGGAGAGGTAATACAAACCATTTTAACTTTTCCTGGTTCTGCCTTGTGCTTTACACAAACACAGAGAGAGACAGGGACACACAGAGAGAGTCTTGTCACCTTTGGGGCCACCCCACCAAGTCTCTGTTGACCAGTGTTTTTGGGCAATATTGGGTGGTTCCTGAACCTACCAGTGAGGGAGTCTGACCACGCAGCCAAGAAGAAGCTCATACCCTCCAGCAGGGTCTGAATCTCCCTGACTCCCACATGCAACCTTCTGCTTCACCCCTGACTGTGCTTCCCTTCCCCTCCAGCAGGAGCGAATGCCGTCTCCTGCCCCGGAGGTTGGATGGCCTACAACAACCACTGCTACGGGCTCTTCTATGAAAAGCTGACCTGGAAGGCAGCAGAGGTAAGACGCCACTCGTCCAGCTTCTGGACACAAAACCCAAAGCAGGTCATGTAGGGACTGAGGTATGGATCGACCCTGGGATTTACAACTGGCTGCGGACTTTCTTCTTGGGGTGCCCCAGAAGCAGCGTGGCCTGAGGGGCGGGGGCACCATAGACTGCAGGGTCTTCTTGGTAGTAGCATCCTTTCTGTGAGAGGTGTGCTTGCTCCTTGCTCTCCCCATGCAAGAACTCCTTTGAAACCTATTTATTTGTGCAAGCTTTTGTGGTATAAGCAGCGGTTTCATCTGCTGTTGCGGTTTGTTTGCATTGTTCGCTGCATTTTCTTCTATCAGGTCCCTGTCATCTTTGGTTCTACATACGGTGTCTGCAATTTGTTATTTTGTATATCTGTCAACTGGAGCTCTAAACGCTCTGGTTTTTACATAGGTTGTTAGCTCTGGGATCCTAAGAGTAACGATAGGACAGAAATCAAATAAGTGAACAGATTTGATAGATTAGGCATCCTTCAGTTTCGAGAGACTATGGTAACGTGCTCTGTATGGAGGACCTGGAGCAGCGTCTATTGTGGCTGAGGAGGCGAATTCGAGAGTGACCATCCCTTCCACACTGAAGACAAATACAGTCT